TTACTATTTACAGTACGTTGCAAAGAAAATGAAGAAAATTTTCAAACTACGCGCATAGGATTTTTGCCTTTACCTTTTGAAACGTAATACGTAATATCTCGGTGTTTTCACAATAAGCATGCAAGGCAGAAAATGGACACAGTGGTAAATGAATAAATGAATAATGAATTTGAAAAATTGTTTCGCGTTGATAATTCTCACATTAGAAGTGTGGATTTTGTAATAATTAGGCTCTCCTTTGGTTTGTTTAGTAGTTCAGTAAGTACGAAGTTTATTAAAAAATTTATTAACAAAAGTTTTATATTTTGCAGATCCACAACTCCAAAGACTGGATGGACACATCACTCCCTTATTCTATCCTGGATCAATTTTCGCATTTCTCAAAAACCATATCTATTGCGAATAATGATCTATCCTGACTCTTTTTACTCCTGATCCTACTTGTAATACTAACTCACCCTTGAAATCCCCGAAGAGGTCCTTCCATTGAATCTCTCCTTGTTGACTTCCATATATAGCTCTCTATTCTACTTTTCCTAATACCTCCTGATTCCCTCCTTCATTCTAGCCTTTCTATCCACGTAACATCACAGTAATCTAACTTGACCCTCTTTCCTCCTGTTTCTACTTCCAATATTAACTGGCCCTTGAAATCTCAGAAGATATTCTTCCATTGCATTTCTTCTTTTCCTTATTGACTTCCATATATAGCTCTCTATTCTACTTTTCCTAACACCTCCTCATTTCTAACATTCTAGTCTTTCTATCCACGTAATAGCACAGTAATCTAACCTGGCTCTCTTTGCTCCTGCTTCTACTTCTAATATAAACGGGCCCTTGAAGTCTCAGAAGATGTTCTTCCATTGCATCTCTCCTTTTCTTTATTAGTTTTCTATCACTGCGTTTCCTTATTGACTTCCATATATACCTCTCTATTATACCTTACCTAACACCTCCTGATTTCTAATCTTCTAGCCCCTGTATCCACGTATAACACAGTGATATCTTATAACCCTCTTTATTCCTGTTTATGGACCTAATCCTATCTGGTTCTTAAAGTGTTAGAAGGTGTTCTACCATTACCTCTCTCTTTTTTCTTATTGACTCCCATAAAGCGCTCTCTGTGCTACTTTTCCCAACGCTTCCTCATTTCCAACCTTCTAGCCTTTTTCTCCGTGTATCGCACCCATACAAAGCTGTGCTCCAAATAAACCGTTTGTGAGCTTAGCAGCGACTCTAACCTGCGTTTTTCTGTGTTTTATGTGACAGCCACTTATCTTTCCCACCCTAAGTTATCTGATTTTGTAGATATCGAAAATCGGTGACTTCTTCATTTTGTTTGACAGTGACTGTACGTGAACCAAGCATAAGCTTATATATTTATGTCCGTATAGGTATACTTTTGATGCAAACGTATAGAGCTCCTCATCATATTATGGCGGCCAGATTGCCGTGATTTACTGCGAACAGGCCTTTTGTGCCACTCAACTTCTTCAGCATCGGACAGCAAGCCTGGATTTAGTATTTTATGGCCTTTTTATGTTAATTTATAATTTACTGATATGTGACTGTGGAGTACGTGTAATTTACTACGACTTATTTATGATACGCGCTTACGGACTTTGAGACGACGACGACGAGTCCTTATTTGTTATGCATGGAAAGGTGGGATTTGGATTTTATTTAAAACGTTCGTTTCGATATCTACGTGATTTGACGAGGGCACTTTCCTTACGTATACCTACAGAGTGTAGTCAGTAAGTTCCAGCACTGAGCTCACGAAACGTGTAAAATGAATACCACGGTTAAAAATTATGCCCTAATTCAATACAACGCTTAGAATGATTACACAAATCTTCAAAACGATTGCTAACACCCTTTGCCTTCAATGAGATCTTGTACACCCGTCAACGCCTTCTTAATCGCATCAATCAACCGACTGGTATAGGTCTCCCCTCATCTTCAATTACAGCTTATTATTAGGAAGTAGAAAAAGTTGGGGGCGCCAAATCTGGAGAACACAGAGGCTGATCGATGACCAAAAACCCTCAGCGAGCCAAAGAGTCTTGTACTATGAACGCCTTATGAGCTGACAAGATATCGTGCAGAAAGTACCACTCATCTTTGTCCAGCAATTCAAATCTCGATTCAGAAGGCGCTCTAAAACGGTTTTGTAGAGATTACCGTCATCGTAGAATCCTGATCGAGAAATTATCTATGCTATTTGATGCTCAAACTTCCATGGATCTTGCGGACCTGTCTACTCTGAACTTTGACGTTTCATTTCAAGGTCATATTCGAGATACCAAGACTAATCCCCCATGACATTGCTCTTCGAAAAATTTGAGTTCCTCTCAGCCTCGTCTCCATATGCAATTTTTAATATTAACATCATACTGATTCTCCTAAAAATCCGATATTGAAATACTAAAGAAACTAAAACTGTTTCGGTATAATCTAGTTGTTCATAATGGGATCACGATATAGACAAACATGTAATGCAATCGGACAGATAGACCGATAATATGTTGGATGTTATAAAAATTATAATAATAATAATGTGTGCTAGTATGGGTTTGTTGGCTGCTTGGTTCAAAAAGAGAATCCTGATTTATGGTGGCGGTAACCGTTGAGGCCCGATAATTTAAATTTTCTGCGGCTGACAAGTAGCATTTCAGGGGGCATCAGTAAATTATGCTTTTGTATTAGGTTCTTGTCCATAAGTCATATTAAGACTACAGAAAACTGGTAATAAATCTGTCCAACTTCGAGCGGGGCTGACGGTCGCATCAACGTTCCTCTTCTCTTCTAACACACACACACACATACACGTACACATACAGCGAAAACGATCTCAACACTGACTGAAAACGAACAAACGGTGGATGCCAACTGTTATTATTATCATCCGATGCCAGCCAATTTCGAAGAAGGGGGGTGACATGATCTATTCAAAGAACTCTGTAGAACACATCGAGAAAAATCACACAAATGTTCTATCAGTCAGTATGTCAGATAAGTTAATATGTGTATCGTGATTAAAATTACGGTATTATTGTCGCTCACAGTGCCTCTCAATTTTATTATCGACATCTTTATTAACGGTTACACTTATCTACATAATCCCCAATCCGTTATCTACGCCGAGTCTTCCGTGCTACTCAGCCTAATGTAGTACACTTCTCCTACCAAAACTTTACTTTTGGGTGTTTCATTCCCACTAGCCAGTAATGCTGGTGGGCGGGCAGTCCCTCCGGACTATGCCGGAAGGTAGGGCGGAAGGCCCTCTTCAGCCTGCTTTCAGGAATCGTGGGAATGGGTGGGTGGTGGTTCGGGTGAGAAAGATGAGACGGACGAAATGAAGACAGAAGAGAGTGAAAGATTATCTGTGGAATATTACTGCCTCAGCATTTGCCTAGGTGATCCAAGGAAACCACAGAAAAACTTGGACCAAGGCAGACGGACCCGGAATCGAACCGGCGTCCTCCCGAATGCTAAGCAATGGTCTAGACCTCTAGGCCATGCCGCTCGGTTCTCCTACCACTACATCTACTTCTAATATAATGCCTTCCCACTTTTCTTCATTCTCGCGTTTTCTCTCCAATTTTACGATTAACAGCTATAATAAGTTACTCCCCAACCTATTTGTCCTACATTGACATTTGTGTGCTACTCAACCTAACCTTTCACCACCTTCTTCCCTATTACAAATAAAATGCCTTTTCGTCTCATATTTCCTAATAATTCGAGTCGTATAATATCTATACCTACTATATCTACAGATAACTTTGATGAACCGGGGTGACTCAGTCTTTTCAAAGAATTACTCAAATCAAAATCTCGCAATTTTTATACACTTAAATTACAACTAAATTGCAGTAGGTATGTCATGTGTACCTGTTTAAATGTTGGTGTTCCACAGGGTACAATAGTAGGTCCTCTACTGTTTTTTTAACCTTTCCTGTTTCACTTTGGAAATGGTCTTAAGAAAAGTGTAGGAAAAACGCCGCATATTTTACAGCCATTGAGAGTATTATAAAATATGGAAACTGGTTTCGTGAAAAACATCGGTAAAAGGAAAGGGCGAGTGTTGCAGCTACCGTAAACATGACTGAACAAGAGGGTTCAAGAATCCCACCATTGCCCTGATTGTCTCTGTTTCAAGACTACGCTGTTTCTATTGGTTTTTGCATGAGGTAACAAACATTTTCGCAGCCTACCCTCCAGAAAACTCAAAACTAATTCAGTTTGGACATATTTAAGACCGTATATTGGAGTTAGAAGGAGGACAGCTTACCTACAGCAAAGTTAACAAAAGCACTTGGCCTCTCGGAAGTCGTTAATTAATGACCTCTTAAAACTAGAACAGTTTTTATATAGCAACGATATGACAACGCTATGCTAGAATAATGCGGAAGCAGCATAACATAAAGTGGGAAGGGAGATCCCCCATAAACTTTAACGTTTCCATAGTTACACTACAATAAAAAAAAGTAATTTTCGACAAGTATACAACAAAAATGAATGTGTATTCGTAATTAGTGGTTGCATATGTGCTTATCATCCCCACGAAATGTCAGAAGCGATCAGTAAAAAAATTAATACGGGGAATTACGTTTCATTGTCTCCAGTTATATTATGATGTAATGCTCAAATAATATGGAGCATTAAATGTACTACCGTTTTGGCTCCACCTACCACTTCTGGGGGGACGTCCCACACGCGACAGCTACTGCCGCCTGTGGATTTATAGGGCACTACGCTGCGCAGTCATCTGTAAGACTGCACAATCAGGATAATTAAAATTCCACCTTAAAACGCTTTAGAAATCAATCCCAATCAATGGCTTTCATGATCATAAAGAAGATAACGCGTTAGCACTCTTCTAAATCAGCCCTATTGGGCGTCCAAATAAATATGGGGTTATGTTCAACAGTTGAGGTTGAGTAAACCTTCAGGAATTAGTCAATGTGAAAGATGAATCATAAAAATACACTTACATGTTTTGGAAATTGGTGTTTTTCTTGATGAAAAGCTGCACTTTTTAGCACGAAAACGCGAAAATGTCATGAGCGACTCGTTATCGTGACGCCGTAATGGATCGCGTAAACTTCCGAACTTTCCCGAAGGGGAAAAAGGCAGTTCCGTATCGTGAGTATGCTCCTCCCACCTGTCAAACTGACCATGAGGTTGCGCGGCGTAGGGAGCGTTTCGGGAAGGTGGCTGTGAAATATCTTCGAATTTGTGACGAAAGAAATGACATTGGGAGTGAGCGCCGCAGTGACGGCGGAAGCGGGAGAGAGAGATGGTGAGCGAGAAGAACGCATCGTGAAGGAGAGACGCCGGCGCCTGTCTCTCTCTCGTCGTAACCTGACGAAAGCGTTGCGCTGTCCGATTGTCGTACCGAGTGGACCGCTCACGGGAGTGGGGGAGCGTGCCGCGTTACTGTCAGTCATTCAGTCAATGACTGAGGGAGCGTACGTATGTCCAAACGGGCGGTCGCTGTCTCTCTCGCATCCGGACGCTCTCTTCACCTGAAACATACAGACGACGTGCGTTAGAATCGACAAATATTGTGGAAGTGGAGGAATTGTGATTGGTGTTTAGAAAATCAAAATCACAGATTGTTGTTTTTGTGCTTATTTTTATTTATTGTTCATGCAGTAGGGCGACAAGTGACGACTACCGACCGAAATATTGTGACTAGCGCGCTTTGTAGTCGAGTGAGTGATTGACAAGTTGGTGCGGAATGTGAGCTTAGCGAATGGACAGTTCCTAATGCAGTGGTGTTCCACGTGAGGCCATACAAAGAGGGAGGACTACCACAACATGCCTCGCAGGAAACAGGACTGTCCAAAACGTATGAAATGTAAGTCGTGCCCTTACATCCTTCCCCTTCAAATTTCGGCAAACAGGAAGGTGACGAAAGAATCCTTAAGGTCTTCATATTGAGTTATTATTGACATCCTGACATGTCAGATTTTGCGTTTTGTTGAGCGGATGAGTGTTGTAAATGAGTTCCACTAGTTTACGAGTGGTGTTCTTTGAGCGGTAAATCAACCTCGTGGTTCGGGTCGATATGGCTCGTGGTGTGGAGATGCGTGAGTCGTAGGTAGTACGGAGAGGAACGCATGCACCATTCATTCTCCACACCATTCATTGGCCCGTTTCGGCAAGCAGGGTTTAGATCATGACTAGATTCGCGTGGTTCAACGTGCAACAGCCCGCGTGTTTATTGCGCTTCTACCGTTTTCGTGCTGCTATGTAAACAAAAAAAAGAGACTGACTCATCACTTCATTTTTTTTCGCCATTAGGTAGTTCTTTAATGTGAATGAACGTTTTTCTGCTCGAGGGTATGTTCTCATTCATTATTTTTTACAAAGAAGAATGTAATTGATTTAGTCTAGATTTTGTGGATTAGGGAACCAGTATTCAGATTGTGACATATGCCGAAACTTGTAACATCCCTGTGTTAAACATGTGAAAGACATCCTCCTTAAAGTTTGTCTTTTGAATGAAAGAGTATTACTATGACTATGACATGATTTTTTGGTTTGGGGAGTACCCCCAAGAGAAGTATCAATGAGCATTTAGGGAATACCTGTTAATGATAAATCATGCATTTAAAAATACTGACGACCTTATGATGATTATGATGATGTGGTGGGATTCCCCTTATATGTAAGAGTTTGGACAAGGCTGTGTTTGAAGCAAGAAATGTACCTATGGCTCCAATCCTCCGTATAATAAGTATTTCCAATTATCGAGTAATAAATCATTCTCATAACGATTGACGAGGGTGATTAGTGTGGTGATTGATGTGGAATGTGTATACATCGACTAATATTGCCTACTGTTCATGCAAATTGTGAATCAGAGAAGATTGTGATCCTCTTTTAAATCAGAGAACATGTCATTTATTACTGTCTGTGTTAATTTTGTTACATATATTCAATAATATAATAGTTGCCTAATAAACACTTTTATGGATTATTCTTTTATTACGATTCCCATATATGACCAGGAGCATATGCTTAATTAATGAAATGACTAAAAATGTGTAGAGATGAGCTTTATAGGAATGCTAGTGAAAGGCACCATTTGGTTTGAGTTTTAATGTAATAAACTTGTGTTTACGAGTTCAATACAGAAGCCGCCATAAATTTTTTATTACCTGCTCATATTGTAGACTTAATCGTTATTCATATGCCCACTGTCGTACAATATAAAATACGAATCCGGTGATCTTAATATTACTTTCACGTGCACCTTTATTACTAGATGGTCTTTTTGATGGAATGTTGGCTAGTATTTCCTATGAAATAACTCGATTTTCTTTACACCTAATGTTGAGTATAATTCCCTTAATAAGTGCAAGTTTGATAACTACTAGGAGTATGGACCTGTCACACCGAATCATTTCATGCACTTCGTCTTCCCCCAAAATTTCAATTCCTGCTAAGAGAGAGACTTGATAAGCATTCATTTATACAACGTTGTAAAATACTGAGACTAAGTCGCTCGCGTTGATAATGCCCACAATCAAAGTGAGTGAAATACGTGTCAAAAAATTGTCATGAATATTAGGATTGCATTTGTTTTGGTTGTGTTAACATGATGTTAGAAGCGTTCGAAATTACGGGTGAATGATGAGGATAATGGGAAAGAGAACGTTAAAAAGGTAGGAGAACAGAGGGCTAGTTGGACACATTATAAGCAGAAACACGAATTAAGAGGACTGTAGAGGAACACCTATGGGTAGATTGGATTAGTGTTCATAAATAGCTGAGGATGTGGGATGTTCCATCAATTTAAGGGAAACGCAAAGATTAGCTCAAAATAGGAAAGAGTGGAAGTGCGTGTCCAACCAGTCTTAGGACTGACGACCCTATAAGGAAGATGATGATGATGAACATAATGTAGATAAAGAAAATGCTATAGCCATTTTGAAATCAGTATTTTGATACTTATTGAATTTCTAATAAAACTGGTAACAGTATAATCTTCATATTTGGCACTAAGGAGGGTGTCATAGTAGAAGTAAAGAAAAAGTCAAAATTTGTGGATTTGTGACAAATTCATTAAGGATCTAATCAAGCATAGATACCTAAAAGGACTAAGTCCTTCTGTAGTACCAATTTGAAACAATTAAGATACTCAATTGGATTTCAATTCTTTTGGAAATTATGTAAAAACCCATGTACTGTTTTTTCTTTGTGATAATTTTGGTGGTACTTATTAAACGTTACCATTTACTTGGTCGTCCATGTAGGTACATTAAGTATGCTTGTGAGTGTGCAATGTGGGTTAACTGGAGGCATGTGACTGACTGACTTCCTGTTACATGACCGTATACACCTGGTACACGCATAATACACTTTTATGACATATTGCTGTAGTGCAAGAATCAACGAACGTTGCCGATAAGAATTTATGAATTCATTGCCTTTACGAAGGGCACCCCGTCGTGATATGAGCTCGAGGTTGTTCCTGATCCATCATAAAACTGCTCGGTAACGGTGTTTCGGCCGATTTCAACGTGGTACTCGTCATAACGATTCGAAAATCTTTAGCTGTGCGCTTGGTCGGTTTAAAATCGTAAATTTCATTTGAGATCATGAGTTATGTAATTGTACGGTTATTTAAAAATACTTGCCAATGCACCTTCATATAACTGTAACATTTACCGAGTGCTTAAATTTGACTGACATCTGGTGTTACGATGTATCTTTCCATTTTTGTTGCAATCTCTTATTTCTTCCATTGATCGAATCTCCATCTTTAATTAGAATACGTCTAATACAAATCAAACCAAGAATTCCTACAAAGTTTTTGTTGATGCATATAACAGTTGTTGCGTGAAACACTTGTTTCTCAGGCATGAGCAGCTAGTGCTTCTATTGTTGCGTATCGAAAAGTTCAGAAATATTTTCTGGATCATCATCATCATCATAAGATCGTCAATCCTAAGACTGGTTGGACACGCACCACCACTCTTTCCTATCCTGCGCTAATCAAAAATTTCTTATCTTAATTATCATGTATCATATCTAAATTAAATTTGTTAATTTCAGTTTTTTGTAGGTAAATTTTCATTAAACCCAAGAAACTGCTTTGCCTATAACAATTTACATATATGGGGAACAATGGACTAGAAACACTAATTTTGGTTCACAATAGTAGTCCTTAATTTAATGTCCCATATGTAGGAATGTTCTTAGGATTTCGTACAGTATCCTTTTATTGTTGACCGTTTAACGTTTTGATGACTGCGATCATGAAAGCCTAATAGACTCCTGATGTTAGGCATAGTAGTGTAGAATGTAGGTACCTACATTCATGTTTTTGTTGTTAAATAAATACATCTTCTTGGTAATTATATGCTAATATTAGGTAAGAAGATTATGATTAGCTGCGATCTTGACGACCATGGCGTCTGCTCCACCGTGGCTTATCATAGCTTGATTCCCAGTTTCTTCTTTATTTATTATACAAACCTTCTCCTATAAGTCATACCTTTATTCTCTAAGTATCCTTTAATTTTTCCCTCCAAATAAGTCTTGAAGAAGTTCTCGTCTTTCCATCGTTTTTCCTCTCCTGTTTTACATAATTCTTAGTAACTGTCTCCTCGTTCACTGTTAAGAAATGAATTTTCCCTTTATCCGAACTAAAATAGTCCTTAGCTGATATCTTAAAAACTGCTTACCTTTACTATTTTTATACCCTATTTAGGAACAATAAAACACCAATAGAGCTAAAATATTTCCAAAGGATTGAACAGATATTGTGATCCAGATGGACTGTTCTTGTTGCATGAAAGTTGCGCTTATAGTGTCCATTCTGACATTTTATTCCATAAAAAGTACCGTTTTAATAAACAGAATGTTTGGATACTAAACTACGTGAATTTTTACTAGCAATTGATACTGATGACCCTGCTTTGGCATACTGTAAAATGTGTTTTATGCGAGTTTATATCAACAAAATTATAAGGAAAATAAAGGATCAGGGAACAATGCACTGTGATCAGAATCGTAGAGAGACAGTGTTAGAGAGATGTCGGATGTTCTAGTTTTATAGAAAAGCGAAAATTTACTCAGAATAGGAATAAGAGAGGAGATGCCTGGTCTTCTACTGATGATCCTACGTATACAACGATGGAATAGTTGAGACTAGGCGTAATTCTGCACATTAGTTGCTTTAAAATCTCCATTTTATGGGAATTGTACCTGTTGATACCTCTACAATGTCTGTTCTGTTTTTTTTTTTTTTTCACTATAAGCCGAGAGTGCTTCCTATACCAAGAGGTGTCTACTAAATCGAAAGGACGTGATTCTATGGTGTCATTTTATAATGCCTGACTATACCGCGCATATAATTGATCCCACCGTAATGGTTGATAATGGGCGAATAAAAGCGGCGTTTATTACTGTTTTTATTTATTGTCGGGTTCGAACGCTTTGTTTGCCAGCCAGGTAATATAAATATACTAAAGGCATAAGTTTATAACTGGCCTTTTATTCTCTTAGCTCAAGTATTGACCATAAACTTAACAAAGGCCAGTTATTAGCATAGTGTATATTAACTCATCTTTAGGTACTTAACGTGTATCGTCAGCTTCAAGTTAGTGCTTCAGTAGGTACTCAACGGGGTTGAAGAACGAGAGGCGTATTTAATAAGGTTTTAATTGTACTCCAAAATAACAACAAGTGAAGAGGAGAAAAATATAATAATTTGTTTTCTTATTATGTATAATATATCCCTGGGATGTATTTAATATGTTAATTTTTAACTTCAGGAAAGAACGTATTATTTATGATAGTTCAACAGGATTGAAGACATAATTTTGTAGCTCAAGTTAGATAGCG